TTTGTCTGTTTCAATACTGATATAAGTAATATATATTTACATAGTTGTTTATTTGTACATTTATTACCCATATAAACACCGTGCATTTAAACATAGATATTTCATGACTTTGAAAAACATAAAACAGATTATTATATGGGCATTGCCCAGTTACCTTGACCGATGACCAGTTTCATATGGTAAGGTGTAGAATTTAATATGATTCTACGAGTTAACATAAACCAAATCCGGTTAGAGATTACCAAAATACTAATTCGGGACAGGTCAAGACAATTAAGTAAACTGTGGATGTGGAGATTTCACAGGTATGCCTTAATGTGTTCTAGACTGACAAGGCTATAGTATACAGGTTAAAATATCTAGTGAACTTGTGGACGTGGAGACATAACAGGTATACCTTAATGTGTTTGTTCTGGGCTGACAAGGTTGTATTATACAGGTAAAGTTTAGTGAACTTGTGGACGTGGAGACTTAACAGGTATACCTTAATGTGTTCTGGGCTGACACGGCTGTATTATACAGGTAAAGTTTAGTGAACTTGTGGACGTGGAGACTTAACAGGTATACCTTAATGTGTTCTAGACTGACAAGGTTGTATTATACAGGTAAAGTTTAGTGAACTTGTGGACGTGGGGACATAACAGGTATACCTTAATGTGTTCTGGGCTGACAAGGTTGTATTATACAGGTAAAGTTTGTATAACACAGGTAAAGTTTAGTGAACTTGTGGACGTGGAGACTGAACAGGTATACCTAGATGTGTTCTAGACTGACAAGGCTGTCCGCCCCAGTAGAATGTTAAGTACACTGTGGAAGTCGAGACTTATCAGATGTATCAATATATATTGATTATCATCCGAAAATGTGACAGGAAAGCAGGTAAATGACTTTATCGCAGCAGTGAGTTTTACCGAACACAGAAAATAATGACATGATGAATCGACATACAAAGCAGTACCACCAACACAATAAGGCACACAGGATGGGACCTGTTTAATCTCACACAGTCAAATGATCATTCACAAAGAGATAAACGGCAATCTACATTAATTTGGGTATTTAAATACGGTCTCCACTTTACATTACCTGTCTCAATCAACAGGTATAGTATTGTGCTCTTTCGATTTCAGTTTCTGGACAATGGCACTTCGTGAGTTATGAGTAATGACCGATTGAAAGAGGTGGTAGGTGATTGGGGTTCACGTGATCTGGTGGAAAGGTGGCGAAGAATATTCTGTCTGTTTGTGGTCGTTATGATATTGAAAGAGAACGCATATGTATTCAAATACAGCAATAACATGATACACATTTTTCGATCACGTGAAATGGAAGGCTTAGCTTTACTTTACAAAATGTAAAAAGGAAAATACCGACATGTCTACGAAATCGTTTGAAACTGCTCCGAAGTAATAAAGATCGATTTTTACAGATATCAAAGTAAAGCTGATCATAATACATTATTGATTACAGACATAACTGAGGTTATTTCGTCGGCTGTATTTTATAATGATGAATCTTTACAGTATTCGATTCTCTTTATGGGCGCTCCTTAAGTTTCTCAAGAGGAAGGATACAGCACGGTGTATACACATTTAGCATTTATATGTGCTTTTCAATAGTAGATGTTCAAAGATGATCAGAGCTCTAAGAAATTATCACCTTGTCTTTTTTTCCAATTTTTACCGATTCCCTGTCAATAATTCAGCAATACGTTACAGTACTACCATTTTATGAATTCATACAACTTCTTATTCAAACCGAATTCGTCTTGTCTTTCTTAACATCTGAAGCAATCGTGCATTAGTGATTTTTATTAGCAATAAACATGTTATCATTGAAAAGGGGATAACGGATTTGAATGTATTTCAAAGGGAGAAACTAGACAGTCCTGCAAACACACATTGTAAGATATACGTTAACTTCACTGTTAGTTTCATACGTCATACCCACGGCCATGTTGGAATGAAAAAAGTCACTCATTCGGTTACTGTATTAGTCTACATAATCTGGGGTGAGGATCCATGGTGTATGGACGCAATCTACCAGTGGTGGTCTGTGTTTCTCGGGGAAACTGAGAAACGCCCTTTGTGTGCTAATATGGTTCTGACCTTGGGCAGAAACCTGAACGGCATGTTTCTCTTGAATTGGTTAGAATAACATTGAGCACGACTTTTAAAACAAACAAAAAATGTATGAATTTTATCTATGATTGAATACAACAAATGCACGTGATAATAGAGAACTTATTTAGTATCATTTTAGCATTAGGTGGCAAACATAAAACTCTTATTATTAAAATACAAGACTTGATCGATAGATCTGTAAGTGGAATTGAAGGACTTCGCAAGGTCTGTGTGACTTTTTTGTACGCTCTTCGATAAATTCAGTCCCGTAGGAAAATAAAAAGAAGTCAGCCAACAGAGGGACGCAGTTCAAAGAAGTCAGCCAACAGAGGGACGCAGTGAAAAGAAGTCAGCCAACAGAGGGACGCAGTTAAAAGAAGTCAGCCAACAGAGGGACGCACGTAGTTCCTGTAGATATGCCAATAGTATGTTGGAATGCCCTACCACCAATCTCGGCAAATAACTTGTCAACCAGAAACTCGACCATTTTCATAACATCGTCCATCTTATTCGATTTGGACGTATTTTTATCGAAATTACCATCAGTATAGTTCACAATCACATATCTATAACGTAATTAATATGATTTTCGTCAATGCTATGAGGAATACTGAAAATAAATACTGTAAAACTCTAAACGATTGACGTTTTCATCATTTTTGTCATAAATGAACGTGATAATAGAGAGTTTAGGTAAGGCAATGATAGCAACGTTGCCAACACTGCTAACCTGCCAACACGTACCAGTCACGAACTTTTGTAACACCTATTAATGAGAGTGGAAGTCGCTTAACGATGTTTGGAGATAGTGATCATTATCTATAGGAAGTGTCACCATAACCGACGCGATAATGCTTTGAATTACCAGCATGCTATTCGCCATAATGACTGCCAATTGTCCTTCTCCTAGATAAATGGAAATTCACCAAAAATCAGATGTTATCACCTGATTCTGAATGTCGTTATATTTAAAAAAAATTAGAAACAGTTTTTTTTAATAGATGTTTTCACTTTGTATGCTGACAACAATAGGACTGCGATGTGAACAAAATATTGTGTACCTTTAATATAGAATATTGTTATAGCCTTGGAACAATATTCGAAATGTATCAAGGTCTTTGATAAACACGATCACCATGTTTTACTTATCATGCCGTGTAATATCGTTTACACTGCGGTCGCCGTTTCGGTCCATTGGTATACGGTTACAAACCAGTTGTGTCGATGATCAAAGGGTGACTGCTAGACCTAACATGGCGATTTCTGGCACAATATTGATGTCTTCGTAATCCATAAAAATGAGTTGAAGAACAAATTTACATCAATTTATCCATACGCTACAATAAAACGCCCGTTATAATGATTCAGTTTAATATAATGTGTTATCAAACCGATGGTCCGTGAATATTCCTGAACAGAAATCAATTACAAAGGAATGTCTGCCTCGAGTTTTCACCCAAATACACCGAGTTTCTTAACGAACGCTGTCATAATCGCATTTCTGTCGTTTTCAGTATGGGTTGAGCATAGTGACAAATGTTAAAAGGGAGAAAATACTGTCCTTTGACAGGTTTTTTGGTAATGTTCGTCTTTAGTATTCTTCAACGTGCACATGGTAATCTACTGTATTATTGTATTTCTTTTTGATTTCTGAAAACATTTCTTTATCAATAAGTAAAAAACTTCAAATCGTTCACAGAACAACATTTCATGTTACATTCAAAACCAAATTTTGACCATTCTTAAATGACAATCAGAAGTCATAAACGAGGAATCAGTGAAGGGTCTTGCTGTGGAAGAAAACATGGAGAAAACCTGCGTAGTCAGACTAATGGCTCCATACTCTCCTAAATCCTATTGGAATATCGAACCTCGATCGCCTTGCGGAAGACGAGTTGATTATTACTACGCCAACCAACAACCCAACAAACTTTCATTGATCACTATAGTGTAATCATGGTAAAAAATATTACTATAAAACGTCAATGTACAATGAACTCATCGATTAAAAGTAGTTTAGTTCACCGAAATACATCAATCAATGGGCTAAATCCCATTTACACATACAGTTTTTTTTGCATAAATAGACACAATAGGTATTATGCAAAAGCAGAAATTGATATTAGTACACGTCACACCACAAGCTATACACTTATATCGGATCAATTTACCTTTATCCAGCCATGCAATAATAAAAAAGACTTTTTTAAATAAATGTGATATTTAAATCGGTTTACTAACTTGTTTCAACAGAAACATCTCCTTACAGAGAGAAACTGTCGATCGGGAAAATATATTTGAAAGGAAAAGTATCCTTCTTCTGCCAAAACATTAATCACATTTATACTGCAACGAACTTTTTTTATATATCATATTATTATTGACAGCTGAATCAACATTCTTATAGGGAACACGAGGAGAGATAAGTTTTAAAGATTTGTTTCAGCTTGAACCTTTCACTATGAACTTGAACGCGTAAGGCATGAACAAAAGCAGAACAATTATAACAACCACAGTGTAACTGAAAGCGATTACCCAATAGGAATATTCCAGTTAAAAGGTCTTCGTGACAAGTTACATTGGTGTAATGGGTAACTATAAAGAATTCTTATTCAATATTTTCAATCGCAATAAATGTAATGGAAATCTATACGGAAGTGCTTGTCGGAAGTGTCGAGTCGTACAATAATTCGCAAAGAGAATTTCTGAACAGATGCATACATCATATGCTATTCTTTTTTAAGTAAAACTATACTATTTACGATCAAGAACATCCAGAACAGAATTCCATTTAATTCCGACGAATAAATTCAATATTTATGAGTTAATATAAGCTCGATTATTCAATCAATATAAGATAAAAAAATAAAATCTTACCATTTTTCAGCGGTTTGAATAAATCCGATTTCTTCCTGAACCAAGGCAATATCCTTCCTATCTCCGCTTCTGTCCTATCATTCGGGTCTTTCTTTATGATGGTAATTACCTGGTCATATATATGAGAAGCCACGTCCCCGGAAGGCATCTTGGATATGTTGTTAGTTTGGATGGCGCTGTCGGGTAGATGAGAGATATCCACCCCTATACAAAAAGAGGACATTCTCATTTTCACCGTTTTTGAAATCAACAAAGAAATCACTGAACACTTGGAATTAGTTTACGTTGTCGATCCAGCATCAATACACAGAAAAATCCATGTCTTTTATGTACATAACGTTTTGTAAATATTTCACGCACGATATACCGGTGTGTTGGTTTTTTACTTAAGCGATAAGGTAACAGGAAGCCAAATCAATGTAACCAACAATGGTGGATACATTAGCTCATATCCATTAAACCTCCACCAGAACATGATAATGGTTTGAAGCCTGTATTACTGCTTTCCCTAGTCTATTGGGGTTTTTTCACAATTTCCACAATGACATGATCATGTGTAGTTTTTTTCTGATATGAAATGTACAAGTACGAAATGTATCTGACATAGAAAAATGTTGATCTTAATTGTCAACACCAGTAAGCGTTAATCATTGTCTCTTCTTATAGCTAATCCAGCATATCCGTTCATATATACGGAAGAATATCGAGAATCTACTCAAGAAAAGGAATAAAATTGATTCACTCTGTTTTAAAGTCTGAATTATAACAAAGAAAACTGGTCATGAATATTCATCGAGTTATTTAAACACTATTTGTCTGTTGTTCATCTGTTAATGTAAAAATGTAGTCGTGAATCACTAATTTGATCATCGATTAATCAAATTTAGAACATGTTCAATCATATTCATTTTTAAATGGTCTCGTCATTTGTTAAATATAAAAATCAAATAAAACATATTAGGTATGATGCATTCATAATTTTCCCCATTCGTTGTACTAGCTAACATTAATAAGGTGATTGTAACATAACGCACGAAAGAAACACAACTTGATAAAATGTACTTTTAACCTATGCCTATAACGTGTTTAGTTATGTCGCTAATTTGTTCTAATGATGCATAATTTACAACAAAAACATTACGTATTTAAGTTCTTGTTCATCAATGGCGAAAATAAGACATGACTAAAAATAGAAATTCTGGATTTTACACCATGTAAACTTGGCACACGGCACATCAGTCTATTATGACATATATTGTAATGGGGACCGTCACATATCTCTCCCTAACACCACCGCAGTCGTAATTGACATACATAGTGTAAAATTTAGATAAAAATAAAACAATGTTTGAATTTGACCATATTAGTCGCCTGTGCAGAGCATCAATTTTTTTTCGGTAAAGAAATAAACATCAGCATTGTGTATGTCGTGCCAGACAACGTCAATGTGCATATTTGCATGAAACACGGGGATTTCAAGCAATCAGAAACTACTTTTATTTAAATCAGAAAAGTTACTCAATCATACTCTTACTGGTGTCAAACAATATCTGTACAACAATTTTTTTTATGAAATCTGATATCTAAATTTTAACCAATCGGAAGCCGTTATGTGGCGACCATCTTGTCAAATCGGAAAACGATTGTCACCATTGTATTTTTATTACTTTATCTTTACCTGACCACCAATTTTCATGGAATTTGGACGATATCTAAATTTCACCTACATGACGAATTTCATGGAAAACGGACGATAAATGAATCTGAAATTCTGACCAATCAGGCCGCAGTTGACCGGTCAGATGACCGATCGAAGAAAGAAAAAGCTCATCAAACACGTCCAACTTAAGTATGGAAATCTGATTTACAACAAAGCTATGACACCTGGTCGAAGTTGCGGAAACATTTCCGTGAGGGCGGGAATGGTTCTATGATAAATATATTTTTTATTTATTATTAAAGACGTTAAAATTTAAATTGCACCATCTGATATGAATAGATAACAAATAATATCAGCTTAATATTTAAAAGAAAGCCTACATATCGGCTTGGCTTCTTAAAGATTGGCCGTTCGAAGGTGTTAAATGTCACCATCAGTGTTGAAAACACAATGGGTAATGTTCTGTTGTTGATTGAATGCTTACTATTAAGGACTTTAATCAGCTCGTTATTATACTAGTGGCATGTAAGAATGACAACAACAGGTCACTAGACTCACAGCCGGATTTTTTTATTTATTAGTTTTGTAATTACAGGAAAAATATGTTCCACTAAGGAAAACAAATCCTAATCGATAAAAAGTAATCATTGTCACCAAGTGTGTCAATAATAGTTCATGGATCATCCCATTTGTGCTGTGGAAAAAATAATTATTTCGCTCGATACACCTCGAAAGATCTGAAAGATTCTATTAATTACTAACGCACAGGCCAGCTCATTAATTGTTCCATGTATGTGTTAGACACTATCAGAGAATAAAACAACGAAATTCTAAACATGTCAAGTGATACTACACCTGATAACCTGTATGTCAAGGCTGTTTTATATTGACCTTCTGCTATAATGTTCTGTACGCGATGGCCCTCGCAATAAACTACAATATGTATGAACTTAACACAAATTTCAATAGTATCGCTGGGTAGTATTGATAATTTTTTAATCCAGTTAAATTGATGAAACTAGCTCCGAAGGGAAAACCCTTATCGGGGAGAGATGCAACGATCTGCATTTTATCTCCGCTCACCCCTCTTTCTCCGTCCTACCTGAAGACAAGTATGTAGTTTCTATAGAAGGTTCCAGTCACTGTAATGGTTATACTATCAGAATTCACCAAAATTCCTATAGTATATCATATCCACAAATTTCTTAGTGTAATACTCTCGCCGGAGTGTCAGTCTGGCTGTAGCCGTGTACCAATAATGATAAGAAAATGTCCATTTTTCGTATATTAAGCACCCGTATTGCGTCCTATTAAAACAAACGAAACCAGGAAATATAACAGATCTTCAGTATCATGTAATGCGTGCACTGTTTTATGAGGGGTATGTTATTGTGCCTGCTGACCAAATATCTAATATCTTCCGGCTTACAAAATGAAGTGGACTCGATAACCAAGGAAATCCTTCCCATGCATTATCCAATAGATAGAAGAAAAACCGGCTAATTAAACTGAATAATATCAAGATTCCCCAAAATGATAACAATGGGACCAACATACTAACGAGCATCAGACAAATCACACAAGGAAAGTATAATTTCCAATTGCATCACTCGAAACCCTTGTTTGTAAGTTTTTCAGTCAGTTGCCGACATCTTGCACGGAAATCGTGATATTAAGAACAATCCCTTGGATATCATTGCGATTTGCAGGGATGTTACTCTCCAGAAATGGAAAATTTACAATCGTGAAATTAATCAAGCTTATCATATATTTTGATAAAAAACTGTCCCTCTTGATTTCGTTGCTATAAGAGTCTGTTGTCTGTATGATTTCCAATATAGGTAGGTATGTATAAATCTCTGGTCATTTTAAAGACAAGACATCATCAATATGTCTGAAAGTGGATTGAAGGATTTCGTAAAGTCTTAATGACCTATTTTGATAAATTATTCGATAAATACAGCTTTGTATGAACATGAAAATCAAGTCAGCTAAACAAGGGACACAGTTTGATCCCATAAGTATTCTGATGTTCCAAACTGAATCATCATATCTGTGTAAGTCTACAAAATATTGCATATCTAACCAATTCCTTATGGCAAATATAGTGAGTTTTCAACTGTAGGAATATCTCATCGATATTCGAATGAAACAAACCAAATAACAATACAGAAACATGCTTATTAATAACGATTTCAGATTTCTCAGGAAGCAGACAATAGATAAAAAAGAAATATTGAATAACTTGGTAAGATATACAACCTTCGTGTGAAGCTGGTCTGCGTTGTATAGATAGCATGGCTATATCGAAGAGATCCTGTAGAACACTACTGCACCTATCACACATCGATTCATATACACTAAGGTCAGTTTAAACATAGGCTGATAAGTGCTGGATTGTTTTTGATTTATTTACAGCGAATTTAACAAATAAGGATTAAATGTTTAGTCTATTGATCGGACGTATAATCAGCGTTTACAACTGGTTAATACGCAGATACCAATGAATTACCGACTCACTGGATCCTCCAGTTGTTTACACTCCTTCTGCCGCTTGGCGTCTATAAAGGTTAACCTGTTTACAAAGACCTGCTCTAACAAAAGGTGCTATGAATCTAAACCGCCTAGTACACCTGTTTTGTCAGTAATGTTTAAATATCCACCTGCCTATAAAGATTTTGTCATTTCAGTAAAATTTAAGTCCACTTTTCAGAAAAAACAAACTGTTATCTACGTCAAAATTTCGATAAAATATTTTGTCCTGCCATTAATTTACATTTGTCTATATAAAACATAAAGTCATTCTGTTTGTTAGAAAATCCGTTTATATTTAACGAAATACTATTTACGTACACATCTACCTGTATAAAACAAAGTTCTCTCTTTACCAAGTCTCCACGCCTAAAAATTAACTGTAGTGCAAAAAGTCAATTTTTCCATGAAAAATAACTGTCCACTTACCTTTGTCCACCAATATATAAAGTTTGAGTGCATTAGATTATAAATCGGTATCTGAAATGTCGTTATTTCGGACCTATAAGCCGTCTGTTTACTAAGACCGATGTTACTAGTATTTGTGGTCTTTTTGGACTGTTTTGCCATATGCTGTTTCTATATTTGACAGTTGTGTATCTTACAAAATGTCATGTATTTTGCTGTATACGGTATGTTAACGTATATTTATATATCAGGTAACTATCGCCTTTGCACTAATAGTTCATTCTCCATCAATAAATTCTAAATTATACCTCTCTAGTGTTAATTTGGATTTTTAATTCGTAGGATAAGTCTAGAACGAACTACAAAAGGCTAGAAAAAATGCATATCGATTACATAAGCATAAAAAATATTAGCCATGTCGGGTTAATGGAAAAGGTAATGATCTATCACTCAGCAGGATCTGCATTTTTATTTGCCGAATTTTTTTTATTATTATTTAGCAGGAATGTAAAAATATCTTTTTTTATGATCAACAAAATGGTTATTCTGTCTACCAGTTATAGTCATAAAACATGTATCCTTCTCCAGTCTTTAAA